TCAACAACAACAACGACAACAACAACAAATTATTACCTGGAATGTTATTTGGAAGGTAGTGAAAACGTCGATAAATTTTAAAATATCAATAGCCGTAAACTATACACAAGGGATTGAATACATGTATGTTACTTTAAAGAATCTTAAAGATCAGTTATTTGTATCAGAATAGTAACTCACTGAAAATAATGGTGGATGTGTCGCTCAGTTTCGTGGATTAGTTGAGGTTAGACATTAACACCGATAGGTCCTGGCTTCGAATCTCGCGAGGCTAGGTCGTAGATGTGCACTGCTGGGGAGTCCTACAATAGGACGAAACGGCCGTCCATTACTTCCACGATTTCAGTGGTGGTCTAACAACAATCAGTCTATGATCTCAATCAGAAATATATATATTTGACTGAGTGCTAACGTAAATCTTTAGTGCGACCTACCTGAATATCTGGTCTACCTATTCCTGTCATTTGAATATTTCAACAAGTTATCTGTTTTCTTGTTTGTTTTAACATATCATTATGTCTATTAGTCTCATAACCTAGTCAGGTTCATTTATGTAAAGTTTATTACATTTCGGTATACAAGTTACAAAAGGCCAAATCAGTGATATTGTGTTTGCTAGCAATATGCATCTAAAAGTATATACATTAATCAAATGTCAATTCCTGAATTGCTAATATCTAACTGGCGACTGTGAAGCTGGGTGACACGAGATCGAATCCGCCATGGAGCACCAATTCCCTCATGATTACAGGTACACCTTGCTGACGAGTGCCAAGTAGCACGAAACCCGGGTCCAAGGTTTCCTGTCGACTACCTCCAACCACCATCTAATTTATCGTATTTTAACAAAATGTAATAATGTAGATTAGCCTATTTTTCTGTTTGTATTAGAGCCTAGTTTAAACATTCAAATTCACTGTAACATTGTCTAGAATAATGAACAACTATTATGTATCTCATTTATTGTACAATCAGTAACTTAACGTGACTAAATGATTGAAGAATAATTCTAACGTCTAAACATTGTTTTTTTCTGATACATTCCAATTGTAGATAGTAGTGGTATTCAGGGTGTACGTTACAAATCCTTTCAGATCTTTGTGATAGTAAGTAATTTTAACTGGTTAAAAATTGTCCAAATCAGATTTGCATTGGTTACTACCTTCTGACACTGAATATACATACTGTTATGCTCAAAACTGAATAAAACATCAGTAGACTACTGATATTTAAGTAAGTAGTAAAGCTCATCTGTAAACCGAGGTTACAATTACATATTATAAAAGCATTTATCTTTTGTTTGATTTTCGTCTCCTTAGTTTTTAAAGCTGAAATCAATGGTTTATGATGTATTAAAGGTTTATCAAGGATTTATAAATTTGAAGGTAACCGTGTCTTAACAACAGTATCATACTGATATATATAAACCTTTACATACCTGGGTAGAATCATTGATGAACACGGTGGATCTGATGCACATGTGAAGGCGCGGATCGGCAAAACAAGTGAAGCATATTTACAACTGAAGAACATCTGGAACTCAAAACAACTGTCTGTCAACCAACACCAAAGTTAGAATTTTCAATACAAATGTCAAGATAGTTTTAATGTATGGGGCGGAAACCCGGAGAACTACGAAAGTCATCATCCAGAACATATAAGTGTTTCTTAACAGCTGTGTACGCAAAATACTTTGGATCCATTGGCCAGACACTATTAGCAACAACCTACTGTGGAAGAGAACAAACCGCATTCCAGAGGAGGAAGAAATCGGTGAGAATCGCTGGAAGTGGATAGGATACACATCAAGGAAAGCACCCAACTGAGTCACAAGGCAAATCCCCACATGGAATCCTCAAAGCCAAATCAAAAGAGGAAGATCAAATAACATATTACGCCGAGAAATGGAAACAGACATGAGAAGAATGAGCAACAATCGAATAGAACTGGAAAGAGGGGTTGGAGAATCCTGGTTGGGTACTTATTGTTATCATTTAGACCTAGATTTTATGCTAATAGTCGCTCATTAATAATGTGCATCAATGATCTTTTAAGGTCATATGGTCGGTCGTATTTAAACTAGTATAAACTTGTATTGAAGCTCTGTATGTTATTAATATAATATTAGAATAATAGTTGAAGTTTAGACCACAATCGAGTAATGTTGGAAATTGATCGAAGTCAAACAAATAAACCAGTGGACGTCTACTCAGCGGTCTGAATGGTAAGTAATCGAGGAGAGACATGGTTCAAGATTCAATCTCGTTGGAGTGGTGAACATGAATTCCTGAGGAGTTCGATAATAGAATGGTAAAACTGGTCGATGCTTTCGGTTTTATAATGTTTGTCTAACTTGGGGTGATTCGTGAACTTTTATGAAATGTTAGACCAATCTTCACAAGCCCAATGGCCAAATACGATAAGGGATACACTTTTTCATCACTGAACCTTGTAAGCAATTGAAATGATAATGATCAACTCAATCGTCAAGGGTGTTTGACTTAAGCCGTAAATTTGAAACCCGTTCACCAGCCCTGGAACTTAGTGTCTCAAAGTCATGTACCTAGTAAATGAATTGCAGAGTAAGCAAGAAGCCATTCTTTGGAAAATTAGACCATCAACGCTGTACATCACATCCCTTAAAAATAAAAGCAACTTCTTGGTCGGTCAAGTGCACTCATCGTTTGGCTGATTTCTTATTGGCCGAACATACCAAGTGTTTATTATGGATTACAATTACGATGTTTTAAAATGTCTAAGCCAAATAACTTTCCGATCATGTATCTGGGACTTCAAATTACATCTTTTAAACGAACAGGCTAGCAACGCTGTACATCTCAAAATAAAGGTCATTACGTAACCACACTCAACAAATACTACTCACTTTTACACGTAAAATAGAAATAAACATTTACTCGAGAAAACCAATTCAATTTTGTAAAGCAATTCTTGAGACGTATCAAACTAGCACAAATGTGAGATCTAACAATTACCTCTTCTGTCAAGTTTACAAACCAAAAAATAAACACTAAACGAGCTATAAAGTCGTGCATTATACACAAATATTTGTGAGATAGTAACTCACTGATGACAATGGTGTAAGTGTTGCTCAATTTCGTGGATTGTTTGAAGTTAGACATTAACACCATTGGATGCCAGCCAGCTCAGTGGTGTGGAGATGAAGCGTTCGCGCACGAGACGAAACCGATTCGTCCTGAGTTCAAATCTCGCGAGGCGGGATTGTGTATGCGCACTGCTGAAGAATCCTACAATTGGACGAAACGGTTGTCCAGTACTTTCAAGTTTTCCATTGTGGTCTAGCTTCAATTGACTCATGATCTCAACTATTGAAATATCCAAATACTTTCATTCGATCTTGGATTTTTCCAATCGAAAACTGTTATCGACAAGATAGAAAAGATTACATCACATAAAGTGATACAAGATTTCCAATATCAGATGAGATTGAATAATAATCAGGCAATTAAAGAAGAATAGGCGGATGAAAACCATTTACAGGCCAGAATTATGAAATATAATTGTCCACTTGACAAATAAAATTTTTATACAATTACTCGACGGCTTATTTTAATTATCTAAGTACTATCTAGTCAACCAGGTACAAATTCGTATAGTAATGGTCGTTGGGATCATCTCAGATCTTAGCTGGTTGGCAAAGCAAGGACCTCATTCCTACAGTTGAATAAAATATGGAATTCGAAACAACTGTCAGCCAATATCAAAGTCAGAATCTTCAATACCAACGTCAAGACAGTTCCATTGTACGGAGCTGAAACTTGGAGAGCTACTACAACCATCATCAAAAAGGTACAAGTATTTATAAACAATTGTCTACACAAGATACTCAATGTCCGTTGGTCGGATACCATCAGCGACAGCCTACTACGGGAGAGGACAAACCAGCTTCCATCTGAAGACGAAATTAGGAAAAGACGATGGATGTTAATAGGAAATACATTACGGAAATCATCAAACTGCATCGCGAGACAAGCGCTAACTTGGATTCCTGAAGGGAAACGGAAAAGAGGAAAGTCAAAGAACACATTGCTTCGGAATCGGAAGCAGACATCAAAAGTGTGGATAGCTTCTGGAAACAACTGGAAAGGACTGCCCAGGACAGAGTTGGATAAAGAATGCGGGTGGGAGGCCTGTGCTCCTCCACGAGGGGTAACAGGTGTAAGTAAAACTCTTCCTTGTGTTAATAAATTATAGTTTTAACAAACATCTGAAAGTCTCTGTAACTTTTTAATCCATATTATCATACGCGATATTTGCTACTGTTAGACTGACGACTCCTTTTGTTTTTAGCTTGCCGTTTTTGTTCTGTTACTCATCGAACAGACTAGAGTGAGTAGATCCTACATTTATTATGAAACATTTCTGATCATTCAGGAAATAAAACAATCATAAGCTATGTCACAATAGAACATTAACTTGAAGGCATACTTTAAATGTGTGGAAATCTATTGGTTTCGACCGTCTGCTTGTCCAGACTAAAACACATAAACATTGGTACAAGGAGGCGCCAAATACATATGCGCAACATAATCACTTGATTTGTGTGTGGGCTGGGATACTGCCCGGGTGCTCAAACCGAAGTAGGTGGTTGTCTAAGGGGGCTATACCCAGAGTCTTCCACCTAAAGGTCTGGTCCACAAGGTAGTGGAACAACGTCATGAGATGCAGTCACATGGTAGCCGGTCACCAACGACTGGTCCATACCCACCAACACAGTTAAAACACCAGACATTCGATTTTCGTCTTCTCAATTTCGTAAACAACAGTAATGCTGCGAGAAGGCAGTGAGTAGGACTTTCCTGACAGTGGTTGTATGCACGTGGCCATGTGAGAGCATTTCGAAAGGGAGAGACGACTCTCCCCACTCTCGGCCGTACCACGGCATTTGGGAGCAAAGTAGAGATCAAACTTAACTTTATCATTGAGTCACATATTTAGTAAGTAGTACAAAATTGAAATGTAACGAAAAAGAAGAGATTAAATTATATTCTGAAATGATATTATGACAGGATTGACAGGGTGTTGACATGGAATAATGAATAAAGATGGAATTGACAAATGATAAGGATGATCATAGAAATGTACATGTACAAGTATATATATTCACATAGGGAACTTGTAAAAGTGCAGTATTAATAACAATCTACACTTTACAATAGGATCGGTTCTCTCGATAGTTATTCTTTTTCTGATTACAATAAAACCAAGAATGATTTGTGAGATGGTGAAGTTATTCTATTCAGATTTATTTGGCCATATTGCATATCGTCCTTGTTTTAATTGTTGTACAGTTACACGACATATTCCATGATCTGAACATCTTCGTATAGCTATGTCTTGAACACCAATAGATGCTATTGTACCAGTGCATCGATGGCTTGAACCATCACGACCTTCTAAGATAACTGAAGCACCAATCTGATAGCTTGATGTTCAAATAGAAAGCAAATATTAGTACATATATTACGAAGCTAAAAGCAATGATACTAGTCAATGAATTGATCATTTAGTCTTAAGCAAAATAAACAAAATAAGACATGGTGTGTATATACATACATGAATTCGAGTTGTCATATTTCACATTAACATAACGAAAATAATGAATTCATCATAAATTATTGATTCGACTTGATAGTACGGTTCACTTGGTGATTCAAAGCAATTAAGTTTATACTCGTCAGTTTAGGGGTTGTGGAGAGTGTTAAGTTTTTGATTGAGATCATGAACCGATTGATTTCGGTGGAGTTTTGTTCTCTGAGCTGGATGGTTTGGTCGTGGAGCTTCCATCCAGCTCAGAGAACAAAACTCCACCAAAATCATCCACCTGAGCTACAAATCTTCTCCACCATCTCAGAACCGATTGATGTTAGACCACCATTGAAAACCTGGAAGCACTGGACAGCCGTTTCGTCCTATTGTGGGACTCTTGTTTGAAACATTTGTTTTCTTAAAGTTGTACAATACTACAAAAGTTGGTTGGAGAGTAGTAAGACGAAAATTAGTAAGTAACAACATCTAAAGATGAAAACAGTTTGATGAAGACAATACACGGTTATCATTGCAGTAAAATGTTTCTCATGAAAAATAAGATATTCCTAATTACCCTATTTGTTGAGAGAAGGGAGGGTTACAGAAACAATACATCTCAACCTTGCCATGCGAAATTCCATTACAGGTAGAAGGATTTGTAAAGTACATAATGAACCCAACAAAACACCTATTGTGAGAAGAGCTTAAACAGCAGTTTCTTGGGTTTTGCACTCATATTTTCAGATCGCCTAAATCATCGAAGCTTGTGAAGATGTATTCACTTTAAAGATATTCTACATTATGAACTGACTGATTTTAGAAGGAAAACCACTGAACACTAAACGTCACCAAACAGATGCTTCGCTCTAGTAAGGATATTCACAACAATCTCCTTGAACAGTCTTCTGAGTAAACAAGCATATGATTTAGAGGGCCTGATACTGAGCAAATCACTTTTACACCATTAACTTGTCATCAAACGGTTTGTGCTATCAACCTCAACTAAATCATCTAACATAACAACTATTATCTACTAGCATTTAAGATACCTGTCACATTTCCGATACAAATAAACTTCAATGGTCACCGCTTTCATTAAGACACCAAGGATAATTCTTAAACTTGGTCATTAAGGAGACTTCAAATTATCCTATTTATTTTCCTTTTATGAATAAATTGAACTTTTAACGAGTAGATAGACCTTTGAAAAGAAAATTTCAATTGATATTGTCCTATAGATCTTTGTTATTTTATATTAATCGATTGTTTACTTCCTTGTCTAGTTTGTTACATGCCTTCAAGATCATTGTTGTTACATCACAAAGACAATCGTTGTATTGCATTTATGTATCTCTTCTTAAAAATACAAAGGCTTCCACAAAAGCTCCCATCATTTTTTCTCTTTTATTCATATATGGATGATTAATATCAACGGGTTGTGTATTTGTCATGTGAACTAACTAACTAGCGTATACACTGTTCATTTGTGCCTTGGAACAAATAGATAATTATCAAATAATGACAATAGTTTGTGGTTATTATTAGTATTTATGATGATGTAACGCAGTGTTCTTATTTGACTCCACAATCGAAAATATCAAATGACTCAGCATAAGGCATAAAAGTTCCGAGTTAGATTTGTAATGATTTCTTGGGTACGCAGTGATTAGAAGTCGTATATGAAATAACTATCTAGTGATCGTTATTTTGTAATGGTTTAGATGGTGGTTGGAGGTAGTCAACAGGAAACCCTGGACCCGGGTTTCGTGCTACTTGGCACTCGTCAGCAAGGTGTACCTGTAATCTTGAGGGAACTGGTGCTCCCTGGTGGATTCGATCTCGTGTCATCCAGCTTCACAGTCAGAGACGTTACCACTGAACTATCCGAGCCGCGACTAACCTCCTGTAGGACTGAGATCACCACCCAGTGATCAATCAATTGTGATTTGTAATGGTTGTCTGTCTAAAACTAGTCGTCAAGTAAAATTATGAAACTTTTCTCCGGTAAACTCAAGCAGAATAACTCATCATAAATTACATGTCTTAAATAAGAGATCAACACATATTACACCTACAAAAACCTGTAAACCAACAATTCCCTTGACAGTAGCAGTATTTGCTTCAGGAAAAAACAATTTTATAATCTCAGTTTAACTGCTTCAAAGAAAAACGCTGAACCGAAATATCATACCATTTATGCCCACAGTAAAGTCGTCCATCGTCTATCCATACAGAAAACGATGTATTTGACTGGTTATTCATGGATGAATTAGTTCCAATGTGACCGGTACCAGTTGTACGTGCACCTGTACGTGTTACTGACAAGTCACCAACACTTGCACTATTGAATGAATTAGGCGAACCCATTGAATGAGATGAAAATAACGGTGTATTCATAGTTGTTGTATTGGAATCTTTTGTCAGTCTACTTGAGCCACAATTATCTTCATAACATTTACCTAAGGAAGGACTTAACGGACTATTACAGCATAATTGAGATGTATTCGAAGTATTATTAGGAGTATAATTGGAATTGTTGCTTGTAGTATGTGAAGAATGCTTACGACTACCGCTACTCATTGATGTTCCATTGGGAATATTTGAAACTTTCGAACAAGCTCTGTTGTAAAATGATTTAGGGGAAAATAAAGATGAAGATGATAAAAAAAATTAAACAGAGATAAAGACAGAATCATATTATGATCGTATTAAATTTTATTGATATGGAATTAACCCAAGCTAAACTTATTTTGGTAAACACCGAAAACAACTTAGTAGATGAGTTTTTTATTACTAGCGAGTAGACTGTTACTGCCAAAATCAATGTGAAATCTCCAAATCTTCATGAAAACCTACTTGTTGGGTTAACAAAAAGCTATCTCTCTCCAAATGACAAACATCTTCAAGCTGTTTTGTTCTTTGTTTAATTCAAACGAAATCTGATCTAACTGGGAACCAAAAGTAGACTGTCAAACAATATAATATGTGTGAGGGTTAAGATATTGAGCAGATACCGAAATCTAAGCAAGTGGTTTTCTTAAAGAGATGATCACCGAAAAAAAGGCAATATCTAAATTAAGGACATGATGTTTCATAGTGGTCATTGACGTAAAATAGGTTTATACATCGTGAGTGCTCTCATGATCCTAAAACCCACGTATACTGCTGATCTGAAAGCAGTTTCTCAGCTCCAATAGGTGGATTATCCATATCCACTAATATCCACAAACATCCGCTTTTCGTAGCCTCACCCTTTTAAACAACAGCGTTGCGTGAAGGTAGTGAGTAAGACATCCCTGACAGAGGCTATAGACACGACACGGTATGACAGTGTTTTGAGTAAAAGAGTGGATTACCTCCTGTCTCAACCACATTAGGGCAGTTGAAGGATAAAGTAACCACATTAGTAAAGTTTAAAGTTAATCAAAAAGTATGTACACTGACAAGTAAATGAAATAACTTATGTTTATCTTCACGATTTCTCCTTAAATTGAATACTGATTACAATTACATCATAGTGAATTGAAATGTCAGAAACTTGCAAAAGGTTATTATAGTAAATAACTAATGTATTTATCATAACATTTGGAGATTTCAATTATAGCATGAATTGATTAATTCATTAATGATGTCACATAATGTTTATAATGTATTGGGAATCTAATTACAGGGAAACTTAAATAGTACCATTTAGGAGGTTCATATATTTACCTTGTCACTTTTATGAAGTAACATGTAATAATTAAAACACAATTAACAAGATGTCTAAAAATCAGGTCTTAATTGACTGTACAGAGTCAGTGACCTAGAAACTAATTCCCTTCAATCGTCTATAACAATATATCATATTAACGTTATACGAACAGCTTATATATGAGCATCTAGCTTTATCACATAAGTAATCTACATTTTTAGTGAATGGTCATACCTTACATTTCAAATGATTGGAAAATTTACACTGATGATCCGGTCTTGTGAGCAAATACCATTCAACCATCAGAACTCTATATATATTCAATGACGAAAAGAGTTGTCAAGCCATGCAAAACTTAGACCTAACACGTCAAAAATACTTTTCCCTAAATTTGTAATAATCAAAATGGGTTATATATATGCCCCCAAATGCCCTGGTATGGCCGAGAGTGGGGTGGGCCCGCCCTCCCTCTCGAAATGCTTTCACACGACCACGCGCATACAGCCTCTGCCAGGGAAGTCCTACTCATTGCCTTCTCGTGGCGGGGGTGTTGTTTACGAAAATGAGAGGACGGAAAGCGAATGTCCGGCGCTTTAAGCGGATTCCAAACCAATGGTTCATATGGGCTCCAGTATCCTGCGGGAACAAATGGCGTATGAACCAATCGTTGGTCACCGGCTACCATGGGACGGCATCTCCTCACGATGCTCCACTGCCTTGTGGATCAGACCTTCAGGTCGAAGGCTCGGGGTGTGGTCCCCTAAGATAACCACCTGCTTCGGTCTGGGCATCCGAGCAGTATCACAGCATGCATACAAATATGATGAACTGTCGATAATTATGGAAAATACTTTTCTTGCTTCAACTATTAATCAAACGATTCACATTATTTTTATTACTATTGTTATTATTTACTACGTCATTTATTCACTCTCTTTTATTCCTACTCTGTCTATCCTTATTTTTCGACTTATACAGCAGCTCGTCTGTGGTGGAAATTCGGTTGTATCTAAACGTTCTCGAGTAGAGACGTTATCAGATATGGCTCAGAATAGAAGCCAGTGGCGATCCTGTCGTAAGCTTTTACTTTCTTCATAAAAAGTGGTTGCTTCTTCCTTAACTGAAAAATCTCTTCTGAGTGTACGTTTCTGTTTCCCCCATTATTATTATTACACTACCTTACACTAATCTGTTCGTTATCGTTTGTTTTTTTTACGCTCCTTGCCTTTTTTTTCCTTCGCTGCAAATTCTCATTGTTTTGTGTGGCACATATATATTTGGTGCCCTCCTGTACCAATATTTATGTGTTTAAATAAATAAATAAATAAATAAAAATATTACTATATACCATATATATCTGTGAAATTTTATCATAGTATCTTACCTATGAATAATTGTCAAATCTGCATAAATCTCATGTTCCGGTAATAAAAGATTTAATTGTGCACTAGGTGCAGTATTCTGATGACGCCTTTTACGAATAGACGTTGATGAAGAATGAATATGATTGTTATTAGTATTATTTAGAAGTGGTACTAGACCACAACCAAGTGCAGTAGCTGGAGAGAGTCTGATGTTATTTGATAAACCAATGGTTCCAGTACCATTTGATGGCATAATAAGACCAGCTGCAACAGCTGCCACAGCTACTGCAGTAGAATTACACGATGAATTCACTGCTACACCTCCATTAGTTAAAAAGTCACCGACATTATTTATGTTGTCTGGTGTGTTTGATATACAATATGAAGGGTTCGTATAGAAATTTGTCAATGATGTGTTGTTATTCATCGAAGCTAATAAATGTGATAACAAACTTCCATCAAAGGGGTTTAAACCTAAAGTACCAAATATGTTTGACCTAGAAGTTGAATTGAACGTGGTGCTAGTTATGGAAGTTGTAGTAGGCATCGTCGCTGTTGTGGTTAGTGCCGACGTTATTGATAATGATGACGATAATGCGGTCGACTGGAATACTGATGACGTCGTATTACTACATGAAATTCCCGTTACATCACTTAAAGCATTCTCTTTAGGTTCATTCTCTAAATTTGATGACGATTGGATTGGATCGGTATTTTCATCATTGCTATTTGCAATAGCACTAGAACTGTATGAATCATTTGAATTGGGTTTCTGTAATCTTGTACTCAAGTTCGAATTCACTGGCCAATGTGAACCACAAAGAAGTAAGTCACCCCAATACATGAAATTAGCTGGATTTGAAGCGGAAACATCATTTCCGCCCCCCGAGCCGACGCTAACACCACTACCAACCCCACCTATAGCGCGTCTTCTCAACTTCCGAGTTATCGCAGGTTTAAATTCAAGAATATCTAAAAATTATTAATTGGATAACACACTTCCATCAGAAATTGAATGGATGATAATTCACGACACTGAGACACGAAAAAATCAAAATTTAGGTATACATATTACTGCCATTTTGGTTAATGAAAAAGAAATTTGAAGTAGAGACTTATTGATTTCAAACTAATGGATTTGAAACCGAATGAAGTGCCCGTTTCCTTTACCCACTGCTTGGCAGGGGTATTTCTAGAACACTGGGCCAATAAGAATGGCCTGCGTTCTAGGATCTAGCACAGATTGAAAGCTAGCTGAATTAACATGGAAGTGTGTGAAATGGTGGAATAATGACTAGTGAACTTGATTTAAACTGATAAGCCGTAGGTTTGAACCTCACTGAATATAACATGGTTTAGGTAGTTCAGTAGTATCACTCACACATGAAAAATGTTCCTTAGAAATGAGTTTGCAAACTATGCTACGTAAATGATTACAATTACATGTTGAAGTACACACATCGGATTTCCAATTAATAAATAAGATGTTGGAAATGTATCCACAAGATATATCTACGATATTGGAGCAGTGGTTCAGTGGTTGAGGAATATGACTTTTAGAAACTGAAAACTAGTAGCAATAACAGTGAATATGATTCAGTAGGACAGAATAAAAAGCATGTGTGAAAAAATAATTGAACTGAAGATCTAGAGAAAGATGAATAGTGAATACGTTTAAGCCAATATGACCAATTCGGATCCACGTTACTCAACATCTCCAACCACTGGTAGTAGTTATTACCAGAATATCAACCAGGTCGTCTACACCTACAGTCAATGTTTTCATGGACTGATACCATGTTTTGGTCTGACTCTACTGGTCCTCTTAGAAATTACTTCTACTCTATCCAACATAGAACTCACAATGAGTGTTATCCAGTGCTATGCACTTGCCAATGATCGCAATGAAGACAACAGAGATCAGTTTTATGGGAGGCTGGAGTGGATCGTAGAGAAGTGCTCAAGAGACGATCTGACAGTCCTGATGAAAAATCTAAACGCAAAAGTCGGAATGGACAATACCGGGTATGAAGATATCATGGAACGACACGGACTGGTAGGAAGGAATGAAAATTGAGAGATTTGCAAATCTATGTGCATTCAACAAAACAGTTATAAATTGCACTATATTCCCCCACAAACATACACACAGAGCTACATGGTTTTCACCGGATCACACTAAAGAGAACCAGATTAATTATGTTTGCATCACTAATGAATTCATAAAGTCAATGGAAAACGTGAGAGCAAAGAGAGGAGCTGACAGCTTCATATCACCACCTGGTGGTTCGCAAGATGAAACTGAAGTTAAATAAAGACTGGACAAATAGCATTACAAAGGTTTAATATAGCCTTCCTTCAAGATACTGATACTGATAAAGCTCAACGAAATAAAGATAGCTCTCAGAACCAGGTTGCAAGCCTTACAAGTAAGCATCCAACATACCACTTTGAGCATAAATAATGTATTTCTAAACCACCTTATTGGATTAAGATCCAAAACCTCATCAACTAATTTATTATTTTTGTTCATAACACTGCTTAACTTCAGCATTCCGTTGCTTCATGATTTCAGGTGATGCAAATAAAACACATATTACTAACACATAGGAATAATCAAGCGATTACGTTTAAATCTTCCTCTCAACTATTATTATTATTATTGTTATTATTATTATTATACAATATAGTACCCGATCAAGATCCATAGCAGAATAAAAACAGACATTATTAACGAATTATGTAATCCGGCGAAAAATTAAAGGAAAATAAAGCTGTCTGAATACGACCAACTAACCTCCACTTGGAGTCAATTCAATGCTTCTCTTATCATGTTCCAAACGTCGTTTCAGTTCTTCACATAATGATACTAAATAAGCTTGAATTCGTCGTTTCTCATGCTGATATTGTTTATGGAGAGAGAGAGAGGGAAATAAGGAGGCGAAAGGAAGAAGACATATATAAAAGGATCCATTCAGTTCAAAAAGAGATGACCTACCTCACAATCCCGATCACATGCTTCAGCTTCTTTTGTATACTCACGATAAATAGTATCTAACTGTTAATAGAGTAATTATTTAAAGGAAGTAAAATAAGGTGAAAGAAATGTGATATGATCAACAACAAGAAAACTATCTGATCTTAATTTTGTCCGTTAAATGCAGTGATATGATATTACATAATCTTCATCAATTGAAAAACTAAAAGTAACTATATTGGTTCCTTCATCATGCTTTTTAAATTGGTCAAAAAATACACATTTTCGATACATGCAGAATTGAACCAAGAGCCTTTAGGTATAATACTTTTAGATCATCGAATCAAAATTCACTGAACTCTAACTCTGCCTCTGTTAAATTGTGTGGGATTAGCGTATAATAACTATGTTACTTATACTTAACTAATAATTTATTGAACAATTTCTCTCCTACGTGGAATTAGCTTATTGTAAACCACACTCTCAGTAATGAAATCAATGCATCATTCTGGCTGAATTGAGTAAGTTAACTTTGTTTATTTGAACACATTTTGGTGCGAATGGGCACCAAAATATATATGCAGAACATACATCATTGTGTTGTAACGGGTGACTGCAGGTTTTGATAAGCAGCGTTTATATCGATCGATTTAGTGGCACGTAAACACGTAATGAACGGTCTAGAGTCCTGATTGGTCCCGCTTCCCTGTCTAGCCCAGCCAGTTGAGTCTAGAACGCAAGTCTTAGCCTCTGAGATATGAATCGTTATATTTCAAACATACTCTGTTTATATACCAACCAAACAGACCACATCGTACCATAGAAATAGAAAACAACATCTGTACAATATTTAACGAGTGAAATAAATAGGGAATGCCCATTTCGAGTCCAAGGACATCATTAGACTTAACACGATAATGATTAGTATATTCCTCAGCATCCCTAACACATTGGATTTGTGAGTGGACTTGGATATTGCTTGGTTGTTTAAACTGAACGTGATTTCCTTGGAGAGCCACTCCCTGAATCGGTCTTTAAAAAGTTCCCACTTAATTCTTTAGAGTTAAAAATTTTGTATATTAGACTAGACTTCCAATGGTGTTGCTAGCGGGATACAGGTTGGATTAATGCATGTTTCGTGCAGGAATACGTTGGGGCACGCTGACTGGCCACTTCTTAGATAATTAGAGCCGATGAATACCTGGAAGAGACTTTATCTTTTTGTGTAAAATTATAAATATACTAAATTTTTTCTTGTTGTGATCCCTACTTTCATTCAACCTTGTATATTTGGAACATAATTACGTTACTTCTCAACTGTGTTTTCATTTCAAGACTTGTCGAGTTAAATAGTGTCCGGAGAATACTAAGCAACAACAGTAGATGGGTCTTAATACGGGAGATCATAACATGTGCACATTCTGGTGATAAGTTTTAATCACAAACTATCTACCATTCTGTATTATAAGCTTATTTCGGAGCTATAAGCATCAGTTGTGTAAACAAACATGGTATGACTCTAAACTCTCACCAAAAACTAATATCGCTTAGTGATTAGCCGAAATTAACCCACGAATTTCAATGGAAACAACAGCTATCTCATTAGAGATGATCATCAAGAACTGATCAGAAACAAATTGTGATTAGCGCAAACTCTAAAGTCTTAACCTGTGTAACAGCAAGGGATACAATCTGGATGTTCAGACTAAAGCAGATAAAGTGGAATGTGAATCCATAACTTCATCACAAATAGTCTAGCAACTTAACCACTAAGCCACCGACCAATAACTTCCAAATAACCATATAAACAACTTTTGCTTAAACATAGATGTAGACTGTTCCTCTAATAATGAATAACACTTCCCACACATTGGATGGTTATGTAGTTGTTGGTATAATTAATTTGGCTGATTCCAACTAAACCTCCTAACCTGTCTATTGATACACAACGAGAAATGACAATCAAGGTTGTTAGCTTGAAGCAAATTTTTTTATCTATAGTGTGTGCCATAACTTATAAATGATGATGTTGAAGCAGCAAAATAAAATCTTTTATGCTTACTTTGTGTTCATGTAGAATTTGAATACGTTGTTTTTGTTCCGAATACCAAGTTTCGATTTCTTCACGAATTTTCACAAATTCTATCGATCATATCCCAGTTATATACAAAAAGAATATTTGAATTACCTGGATGAGTTTTGTTATCCAATTGATCTAACTGAGTCTGAATATTAGCTACTTCTGTATTGTATGTATCTTCAAAATCATCGCTCACATCACTAAGATCTTCTTGTACACTGGTTGGCATTACTGGTGCTGACACGTAAGCAGATTTTTCTGTATGCTTCCTTTTCATTCAAATCAAATTTACTAGTAACCTCCCACTATAAAAAAGAAACATTATTCACGTGATTGACCACAAGAACATGACATACATGGAAATGTGTGTCAGTGAAACTACAGTAATCTTCAGTGATACACTTGCAGAGTGAAAAATCAAAAGGAATGAAAAGTTTTTACTAAATTTGTGCAATAAACTAGTATTTCGCAACTGTGGATTTGGTACAGTGAACGAGATTACTTTCACTCCTTTCTCGCCAGACCCATCAAAATAGAGTGAAAAGTTTGGTTTCAAAATGGAAGGTTAGTTGATTATGACCGTAGTAGGATTAAAAATACGTTTCACTCAATAGGTTGCGACGATTACATTTAATGAATTTAATTACTGTTATTAAACACAAGTCACTGTGAAAAAGGACTTAAATTCCACAAAGTAATATGATAACAACATGTTGAAGGTTGACTCTTCACCTTAAATTCGCCTTCAAATGATATTAATTGCCTTCTTTATAAATTGCATTTGGGGATCGTACATTCCCAACCGTATTGCAAAGTGAGCAGTGATTTGTTCAGCAGGAAAAGTAGGAATGAAAGTATTTGTATCGAAATATATTTACATTACACCAAACAGCACTTCAAGTCTAAGGATATCAAACTCGAAACAAAGAAAGTAGACACCTTGTGACAGAATTATCAATCAATTCTAAAGTAATCGACAATTGAATAGTAATTAGTGACATTATCTAGTTCTCCTAGTGCTTAACCTTAACCACTTTCAACTTACGATAACTAACAACCCAATATGTAAACATTCATTAATCATGTGGAAACTTAATTCGTTGAAACTTACTACGTTTGATAATATGTCGCTACATAACTGAACACTATTGGTTGACTGATAAGTCATTTAAGATCGTTAATGGAGTATATTTTTACATGTCTGTTCAATATCCGCTGATCGGTAGAATACGGCATGTAAAATCACTCTAAATCATTCTGGAAGATGTTTGAAAGTATAATACAAGCGTAGATTACCTGAGTTCTATAAAACGACAGAAGACTTATCGCTATGCCCTAAACAATTAACAGGGATGAATTACAGAATTATTACTCTGACACTCAGATCTGTCACACAAGCAAATTTATTCCGTGCATTCAAAAGTAACGAAACGTGGAGTCAACTGTACTTCAGACCTATTGATAGCCTAAGATTTAAGTTGAGATTCGAAAGAGGATTCGCCTTGTCTATACATCTTGCAGCAAATAAATTGCAAAACTAGATGCGAACTAAGTATGCAATCAGTATATTCGATGATTGACTTGATCATAACAGCGACCAAAACACCTAAACAATGGAAGGGAGATAAAGGAAAACATATGTGAAATATAGGGCACAATCTGTACGAAAATAAGGGAGAAACGCGCATAAAATCTGCTCTTTAGCCTGCCGTGTGGAAATAGTGCGACATTTCCTCTTCTAGTCGATGTATATAAATATGCGTTTTACTAGACATTCCAAATTCATGTGAATGTGAATGTTTCATGAATAAATCTGCAAAACTAACTTACAAGGATAGTTGACCTTAACTTCGATTCATAAACATGAGTTTAGTCTACGAGAATATGACTTGCACACAACACATGAAGGTACCATCGCACTGTATTCCGGCCGGTAACATGAACAAATGCTGGACCACAAACTGGTTTTCTAGCAATATCATCTACTTACAACTGGAAAACTGTAGCATACTGAAACGGGGCAAAGCTATAACAAGTGATTTGTGAACAGGATATCAAGGAAGCTATTTATCAATTTGTAGATGTCATTCACGGAAGTAAAAACAAGGCGCTGAAAAAAGCAGACACTTTGCAGAAGAATTGCACGAAATACTGGCATTAAATCTCACCCGCGGAAACCCATAAATACGTTGAGTATATTACCAGACTACGATCGTTTCGCGAAACATCAAACGTTCCGCCGAACTTCAACCTTGTCCAAACTATCCAATGTGTTTGCGACGATCTAACATTGTAATTAGTCCAAAATCTCTCCAAACGAACTCCCATTTTCGGTTTTGTATTGATTTTAAATGCGTTATTGTCAATTATTTTCTATTGCTTGAATCATTAAAATTAGGTACATTCAAAGTATTTATGTAGTTTGATATGAAATATCATTGAGAAGTGCTCGTATAAACCAGTTAATTCTTCTTCTGCTTTGGCTGGCCCATGCACAACTGGTCATCATCTGCTACCCAAACCTATGCTAACTTACGTTGTATATGGTAGTAAACGTACTATAGTACCTGGATAATAAAAAAATCTACTTAAGATATTCAGCTGAAGTTGTGAGTTCCACGTAAGCTTAGAAACCATACTGTTCCCGTCCAACTCGAATAAACTGCGATCATTTACAGAGACAACATATATTGTTGATCTACAAATCATTTAACAGTGCAATCATAACAAATAATCTGGATTGTAAGCATAAAATATGATAAGGAGATAAAAAGGAGTGACATGCTAACAAGCGGACAGTATGTGAATACGGTAATAGAAAATAATTTGTGATTCATGTGTAATGACCTACTTTTATGAAGAGAAAACGATTGGTATTATGGAAACAACTGAAGATGCCACAGGTATTCGTAGTTTGACAACGCTTTAACCAGTAACACTTTCTAATATGAATCGTACCCACCAAGTGAAATCAAAAGACAGAAGCGAGGAGGTTCGGAGATATATTTGATAGGCTACCAATATATCGTGGATAGTTTGATCTAATTTGGCTAGTGATTGCAGTGGGGGTGTTGAGCACGGCGTTCCCGCTCGTGATCTGGGGCGGATGCATAACCGAGCGCCTACAGCTAAGTGAGTCCATTAAAACTAATGTGGTCAGCAACCAATGTCGAAAACTAACAGAGCTATTTATTTTGGGGATTTATTTACCGCTACAGATCCTCCCTAGTGGAGTAGTGATGACCCTAAGACGTGGCCAGCTAGAAGTCTAAACCCAACGAGTTTGTCGGTGGTAAACACTCTTCTGATAGCTTGCTGGGTTTAACAGCGTCTGGTCGTCCTTCCTTACTATAAGGGATCATGAAGTACAATATAGTAAAAAAAATAATGTATATTGAAAAGTTTTGGTTCCTCGTAAACCTCATCGTTCTTTTTATCGTCTTTTCCAGCCGGCCTGGAAAAGAAAAAACAATATGTAAGTGCATGTCGGAATAAACTCGTACGCACTTTAAGACACAATGTGGGCGAAAAAACGAAAAAAAACTCATGTACATGTGATAGCGTAAAATCGATTCTTACAAAATGTTTTTTTTTAATTTTTTAATATACATATTAGCAAAATAATAAATATATATAAATATAAGCATATAAAAATTGATTTTTTTAATATTATAAATAATGCCATGGAAAATCGAGATGAAGCAGAATGTTGGCTGGCGTCTTACGTGCAATAATCGTTCAAATGTTCTGGAAATCTTACTCTTCTTCCAGAACGCGTTGTTTTAAGTTTATTTTCAGATACTGTCGAAGTATCATCGTGCGTGTTGGCTGTCGGTTGAGGTATTATAAGTGTAGGAGCCCTGTCGTTCGATTGTACCGAAGGAAAATCGACGTGGATAGGATTTCCTTCCGAATATGCTATCGTTAATTCCGTTCTTATTGATTATACAGTACTTAGGTTCACGTTGAAGAACTTTGAAAGATCCTTCGTATGCTGATTCGAATGGTCGTCTATGAGAGTCTCGACGAACGAAAACGTGTGTACTATAGCGTAACTTAGGTCGAACGAAAACATCAGTTGATTGCGGTCGAGTGGAAACAGGTTTAACAGAACGCACTGCGATTGTAAGCCTGTTCGTGTAGGAGGTTAGATCCATGCTCATTGAAGAGGATGAAGGATCCACGAATTCTCCTGGAAGTAGAAGTGTCGTTCCACAAACTAGTTGAGCCGCAGAGTATCCTATGTCAGCTTTCACTGCATTGCGGATACCTAGTAAGACGAGTGGAAGATCGTCGGTCCACTGTGAAACGTTTGCAGCTGATAGCGAAGCTTTCAGTTGTCGGTGAAAACGTTCTACCAACCCGTTTGCTTGTGGGTGGTAGGCGGTCGTTCGGAAGCGAGTGATTCCTAAAAGTGTGGTCAGACGACGGAAAAGTTCAGATTCAAACTGACGTCCGCGGTCTGTAGTGATGGTTGAAGAGCAGCCGAAGTTTTCTACCCATCGTTCGACGAAGGCGCAGGCCACTGTTTCAGCAGTGATGTCCTTGATAGGTACTGCTTCTGGCCATCGAGTGAAACGGTCTAGGCAGGTTAAGAGATAAGAGTATCCATTTGAATCTGGTAAAGGTCCTACCGAATCCAGGTGGATGTGGTCAAAACAAGCGTCCGGAGTTTTGAAAGAGCCTATGTTACGTCCAAGTTTTTGGTCGTTCCCGTTATTGAAGTACGGTATATCGATCTATTTGCAATTTACGAACCCAAATTAACAATAGAACCAAACACCAATTTAGATACTAAAGTTTATTCACAAGTTACAAATAGTTGACCCAAATGTCGCTCTAACAACAATAATCATAACAATTCCAAAACAAACCTTCAATTTTGTAGGTTCCCGGAGCAAAAACTCTCAAATACCAAACCAGTGACTAAGAGAAACCAAAATGTCCAAAAAGAATGATATAAACAAACAAGTTCAAAGGTTAAGTAAAACAAATACATCCAAAAACACAGTAAAATTATTGATGTACAATAAAAAAGTTCTAGTCAGTCAGATGTCTGCAGTTCTCTCGTAACAGCCTAAGGGACATTTGTTGTGTCTGATAACCTTAGATGTTTGGCAGCTTACATAGAAGCGTGCCCACTCCCTCATATCGTTATTCATACCAGGCCAGGAAAACCGTTCTGCTATTAGCTTGATTGTTGCACGAACACTTGGATGAGAAAGTCTGTGCAACGTATTGAAAACGTTGCGTCGATAGTGTTTCGGTACGATTGGGCGATCCCTACCTGTAGATGTATCACAAAGTAAGGTTTGCTTACCTGTTCCCACCTGTTTGATGCGCAGCTTAAGTGTTGTAGACGGCAACTCGTGCTGAAGATCAGTGTCTACTTCTTGAAGCTGGGCGAGTTTAAGAAGGTCGATTCCTTGGAAACTGTTCAAGGAAGTCATCAGTCTCTCGTGGTCTAGAGACAGATCGCTTACATGAAGTGCTTCTTCTGGAGGAGTGGCCGTTTATGGTTGTTACGAAATTCAAGATAACAAGTAAAGGTATGACATAACTCTGTAATGTCATTCTGGGTCGTTTGAAGCTTTTATTTGACTGAAAGAACCACGACATTAGATTTATTGATTTCTAAGATGCAGTCGGCAGATGCAGCCAGCTTGTCTGAGGCGTTGTTTTGAAACGAGACCCGCACAGCTTGCACCTGTTGAAGAAGTTTGGATAAGAAAGGTTTTTTGAATAGGCCATCATCGAAGGTTCTTTGGCCGATAACCTCTCTCATTCTTTGCAACATGTCTGTCGTAGAACCGTGTTGCAAGTCGATGTTATTAAGAAGTTGGTCTAAACTTTGTCTATCGGTTAGGTCTCCGCGTTTATGGATAGATCGTCTCAGTACTTTGTAGGACTCAGAAACATCACTAGCAAACATACCAAGTGTTAAGTACCTGCTGAATTCACGTGGTAGTGCCCTGACTACTTTGAGGAATTGTGCACGTGTGTCGCTTACGCCGTGCGCGTAGAAGTCGGCTTCTGCGTATCAGAACCAGGCAGCGATGTTGTTTGGTCAGAAGGGAATCAGTTGGAACGAAGTTGGGGGCATAATCTTTAGCTTAGGTACCTTGAGTGTCTATTCAGTCAATGTGAAATATGAAGTACGGGAATGAAAGAGTGAATAATATATGTATATCCAAAATCACGATGTATGAAAAATTGAAATAAGGCAATGATATATAAAATCCCAAAAAGGAACAGACTCACAGTTTGCAAGTTGGTGTACCAGATCACGTCGGGCTCACCAATGAAGATGCCACCGGTAATACTGTACCTGTTTGCTAAACTGTACTAAAACCATACATTTTTCCGTCAACTGTGATCTTGCAAGCCTTCGTTTAAGACACGTAGTCCCGCTTGTACGATTTGCCACGATCTCCGTAAGAATTCGATACCACGAGATTACCAATATATATTCTATTATGACAGTCAATTCCCTTTTAGTATTTGATCCATGAAGAGATCATACCTAATATCTCATATGTCATCTTCCTGTAGTGCTGCTAATACTCAAAAACGAACTGAAGCCTACGACAAAAGCACGATATCCATCAAGTTAATCACCAGTGAAACATGTACATTGATGTGGAATGGATATTACTGTTCATATCACATTCTGGATATCAACCATCTCGTCGAACACACTCGACAGAATTTCCTAACAGTAAAAGAATCAAATCAAAACCACTACTCAGCCACATTCGTTTTACCTAATGATCACTGTCTAGCCACTGTACTATTCATGAATGTATGTTGAATTATTTGATTCATTTATTCCCAATACATACACCTAACTACTTGCTTTCATTTATATGCATTATCAACTAACGAATCATATGACTTCACAGCGTCCTCATTCATCAAGTGATTCACCTAGTAATCATAACAATGATTCCAAATATTTTGTGAGATTTACAAATATAACATGAAACACAAATTTCCATTATCAAACAATGTGACGCATTTCATGGTGGCAGGAAACATCCATGAGGGATACAATCACTCTCTGACGTATCACCTAATTTGATTCAACACATTAGAACATAAGAACAACGCAACACCAAATAAACACTCATCAGCAGTTTAAATAATCTGTCCGGAATTACTATCTGATTGAATTTGGTGAGATTTCTCCTATTGTCACTTCGATCAGTTTGGTGCAGAAATTCGTGATTTATCCAACTTGATTTCTCTACTGACAGTAAGTCGTTCGTAGAACCAAAAACACTACAATATCCTATCTAATATCAAAC